GGTAGGTCCCACATCTTCACTTTCCTTCTGTTGCTTCTGTCTGTCTGTCTTACTTTTTTCCCCAACAGTAAATTGTGTGGATGTAGACTACTTCTCTTTACTCAAACAAATAAGTGACTATTATTGAGTCTGTGCCCTTTTCTTTACAAAGGAGAACAAACAGATGGCCATTATTGTTTCTATATTATGGTTCTCTTTACTCGTATCATATGTTTGACTTACTTTTTCCCCTATATCACTAAACTGTTATTGTGTAGATTTGCTTTTCTTTACTCAAGCTTACTAATGTCTGACTTACTTTTTCCATGTACTGAATAACTATTATTATGTCTGTGTCCTTCTCTTTTCTCGCACAAACAAAGAAAAAAACAAAACAAATGACCACTGTTGTACCTACGTCCTTCTCTTTACTCAAACAAACAAATAAATGACCATTATTGAGCCAATATGCTTCTCTTTACTCAAACAAACGAACAATCAAACAAATAACCATTATTGTGTCAATGTTCTTCTTTTTACTCAAACAAACAAACATTTCCCACAACTTTACTCACACAAACAAACAAATGACCATTGTTGTACCAATGTCCTTCTCTTTACTCAAACAAACAAACAAACATATTACACAACCTTACACAAACAATTTTAAAAAATACCATTATTGTGTCAATGTCCTTCTCTTTACTCAAACAAACATTTCACACAGCCTTACTCAACAATAAACACATTACCATTATCGTGTCAATACAAACAAACAAACGTTTCCCGCCACCACCAGGAGCGACCCCGCCCAGACTACGCGGCGAGAGCCCCAGAGATCAAAGAGAACCCCATCACCGGCATCAACGAGCCGTACTTTGACCCCGGCCAGAGACTACCCAGAATCCTCTCCGGCATAGCCGCCATCATTATCATGGTAGGAAAATAATATCACCATTATCATGGTAGGAAAATAATATCATAATTATCTAGGTAGGAAAATAATATCATCGTTATCAAGGTGTGAAAATGATATCATCATTATCATGGTAGAAAAATAATAATATCATCATTATCAAGGTAGAAAAATAATATCATCATTATCAAGGTAGAAAAATAAAATCATCATTATCAAGGTAGGAAAATAATATCATCGTTATCAAGGTGTGAAAATAATATCATCATTATCATGGTAGAAAAATAATAATATCATCATTATTAAGGTAGAAAAATAATATCATCAATATCAAGGTAGAAAAATAAAATCATCATTATCATGGTAAGAAAATAATATCACCATTATCATGGCAGGAAAATAATAATATCATCATTATCATTGTAGGAAGATACTAATATCATCATTATCATGGTAGGAAGATACTAATATCATCATTATCATGGTAGGAAGATACTAATATCATCATTATCATGGTAGGAAAATAATAATATCATCATTATCATGGTAGGAAAATAATAATATCATCATTATCATGGCAGGAAAATAATATCATCATTATCATGGTAGGAAAATAATAGTATTCTTCTTTCTCCTCCATTTTGTCCCCTCTTTCTGTTCTTCGTTTAACAAATCTCTTTTTCTCTGTTTAAGATAATAAAACTCGATCTCCTTCTCCTTCCACACCCCTGATCTTAAGTTAGATAAGATCGAACACCTCATCTTCTCCTGCAAGTTGCGCACGTTAAAGATCCCTTGGTGGTTGGACTTCGTAGAAAAGTTGGTCGTTCGGCCGCGACACGAGAAAAATTCGAAAAGATCGTCTGTCAAGCTTCAAAAAGGCCTGTTTGGTTATGGAATAAGTTTTTGTTATAAGTGTTGAGGCTGAGGGGGGGGGGTCTCTTTCAACTGGTTGTTCTGTGACGTTGTTGATTTTTCAGTAGTTTGTGGGTTTTTTTCAAAATTACAGTTTAAACTGCTCGAACGACAATCTGCCCAAGACAAACAACTGTACAATTGACCTTTTCCCACTCCCTCCCCCCTCCCCTGCGTTTATAGTATGCATATCTTCTATTCCACCAGATGCTCCTCGCCATTATCATCACCTTCTATTTCACCAGATACTTTTCACCATTATCCACTCTTTCAATTCCACCAGCTACTT